TATAATACTACGCCTACTATAGTTTATAAAGACCTGTCTGTCACCACGACGGGGAGACTAGGAGCCCCTTTAACCTAGGGGGTAGCGCGCCGTCGTTATACGACGATACTATTAAGATTATAATAAGAATAAGGGGTATCCCTTTCTATTAACTAAGCTAGAGCGCTCTTATACTATACGATTCTAGACTTAGGATCGTTAATCTATATCTTTAATAATTAAGGCCGTTTTACGGCTATTAGACTACTCACGGATACTTTATCTTCATCCTTTTAGGTGGATACTTATAAGGCTTCTATCCTCGGATACGGAGACGTTAAGCTATATATATAATCTCTATTAGGCACGAAGAGGCTATTACGCCTCCGTGACGTCGTATACTATAAGGAATTCGTTACTAATATTATCTCGGAACGCTAGCTACGCCTATAAGGCTATTACTAGGACACCGTAAACGATACTATTATTAGCTCCGCTAATAACCGGCCTATTTATAAGCTACTAAATATCCACGGCTAGTATATAATCGAGCGCGCGGAAGCCACGGCCGCCACTGTATTTATAGTCTTAGTAAGGTATCCCCGCGATAACTCGTATAGAAGATTATAATAACCGCGGTAACCGTAGAAGACCACGGTATAACGGTAGCACGAACGCCTTAGCCACTATAGCACCGATACTCTTATAATAATCGTTAACGCTACTTAGGGGGTAAAGATAAAGGGACCTTATATAACGGACTATAACGCGTATAGGCAATCGTAAGTGTCTACGTAGATCCGGCGGATACTATCCTTTTACCCGTTAAAGCCCGGGGAGGCCTTAACTATTAATTTTCACGATCTAGAAGAGTCGGAATCGCTAGGCGAACTATATAAGTCTATTATATTCGTTATAGATATATATATAGGTTATATGTAGGATTATTACCTATAGAAAAGGGACTCAGACTTTATTCTATACGCTTTAAAGGATGTTTTTACCCTGCTTAAGACCTAATTCGATATTAGGCCACGCGTTCTACGGGCTAATTCTAAGATATTTTAGCACCTAGAAGTCGTTGCTTTCCTCGCTACTAAGGGGGTAGAAGGCTAGCTATCGGCACTATATTTATAGGATTAAAACGGCGTTATAGAATGGATTAAAGGTATCGTTAAGAGAAGGGCGAGGGCTATAAGGATTAGAGCTAATCTACCTATATCTATCTAGCCTAAGATCTTTAAGACTACTATATATCTATATAATAGAACGCCACGATATATTAACGACTAGAAGATACTATACGAAGGCCTACGCGGCCGTTAACCTAACCTTACGCACCTACGAGCTTACGGCTATAAAGCCTTTATAAAAACGCGCGGTACCTAAGCTAAAAGGAACCGCCTATAAAGGCTAGAGCTAAAGGTATAGATCGGTTATTACGTCGGATACTAATCCTCGAATAGCTTCCGTATTTAGCTACCATATCTAATAGATATTATTACCACGAGAGACGTGGTCTTTAACGAAGATAAGATATTTGACGGCAGGATTAAAACGCTATAAGCTATAGCTTCCGCCGAGGAAATCGGGGAACGCCTATAATCTATCCGTATCACCTAATCTAATAAGACCGCGAATAGGCTACTATTAAGGGGTAGAGCCGTAGACGTATTCGATCCTAAGTCGGAAGACTCTAACGCTACCGCTATTACTACATATAAAGGCGAGGCCGTCGCTATTACTATAAGAGAGGCTATTACTATTACTATAGATAAGGTTTTAAATCAATAGCCTAGATATTAGGCTATAGATTTAGAACCTCGTAACTTTAACGCTACCGCTATTACTATAGGAGAGGCTACTACTATTACTATAGACTATATCACCGCTATTACTACGGGCACCGCTATTACTACGGATACTACTATTACTATAGGAAAAGACTATACCACCGCTATTACTATAGGCTAGGAAAACGCTACCGCTATTACTACGGATACTACTATTACTATAGGAAAAGACTATACCATCGCTATTACTATAGGCTAGGAAAACGCTACCGCTATTACTACGGATACTTCACGGTTTACCACTATAAGGTTTAAACTGTTTCCTATGCTTCTAATATCCCCTGAAGATCCCGCGCGCGCGTTCCTTATAGCGTTAGCGGTGGTTAGGGGCGCTAAGGTGGAAGAACACAATAACCACTAACGAATAGCTATAGGTGCCCTTAGGGGGTGCCTGTCGGCTATACTCCTGTCGGCCGCGCGCCTATTACCCGCGCGCCTATCTATCGCGAGAACTATCGTAAGTCTATACACGACCGAGAAAGTCCAGAACAATAACGCCTAAAAGGCGTTCTTTAACGCTAGCAGGACTTATAACCCTATACGTACAAGGAAGTAAGCTATTAACGATAATGATATCGGTACTATAGATTCCTCTTATACCTCCTAGCCGCTATCGCTATCGTATATAACCCGCGAGGATCTCCCGTCTCTACTAAACCACTACTATAATATACGTCTCTATCCGTTACGGGAGCGGTAGTTATAGGCCAAGGGGGAATACCTTAAAGGGCACCAATAGATAGGCTATTAGTAGGAGGTAGGTAGTAATTAGGCTAATAAGTAACAAGTCCTCGCCTATAGATAGGTATATACCTATAAATTTAATTTGGGGGGCACCCTCCTTGAGTATAAGGCACGCCTTATAGTCCGAGGGGATTAATAAAAACGGTTAGAGACTAAAGATAACTACACCATAACGCTAGCCTCGCGGTCCTTCCGTATACTAATAGCGATCGCCGCCCGGTTTAACCTAGAAATAAGGCAGTTTAATGCTATTAACGCGTTCGTTAACGCTAGCCTTAAGGAAAAGGTGTTTATAAAGATACCGTAAGGCTACGAAGTACTAGGTAAGGTCCTGCTACTACGGAAAGCCCTCTTTGGCTTAAGGGTATCGCTACTACTATAGTAAGAGGAATTTAGCGGTACGCTATAAAGGATAGGATTCACGGCTATACCTAATAACCCCTATATTATACTCCGCGACGGTTTAATTCTATTCTTTTACGTTAACGATATCGGACTTATCTATTATAGAGATCGTAAGATAGACGCTGATAACCTCGAAGCCGCCCTTAAGCGAAGCTATAGGTTATTAGGAGGCGAAGAAATCCGTTAGTTCCTAAGAATTAAGGTCCTAAGGGATAGAGCCACCTGAAGGTTATAGCTATTATAATCCTCCTACGTGGAGAAGATCGCGGTTAAATACTACATAGATATACTCTGCCGAAAACCACTAAAGGTCCTGTTATTAATGATAGAGCCGTTAATACCCCGCGATGGTATACGCGCGTCGATTCCCGAGGTCCGTTAGTATTAGGGTATAATCGGTTCTATCCTATACGCCGCTATCGTGATAAGACCCGATATCGCGTTCGCTTATTCGAAGCTTTCCTAATATAACGTTAACCCCTCCTCTAACTATCTTAAGAGGTCTTAATAAGTGCCGCTATTCCTATACTATATAAGATACTATTACTTAGAATTCGGTAGGGATAGACTCTTCCTAATAATAAGCGACGCGTCCTTTAGGGATAATCCATACCGTAAGAGCTTATAAGGATATACGATAAAGCTTTTCGGCGGCACCGTTAACTAAAAGGCGGGTAAATGACCGATAGTCACGACGTTGTTAATAGAGTTAGAACTACCCGCTCTTACTAAGGTAGCTCAGGAGACGCTCTTCGTTAGCCGGATATTAAGGGATTTAGAGCTTCGGCTAGACTAATAATAGCTATAGCTACACTACGATAATTAATAGACTATTAACCTTGTTAATAAGAAGGCATAACGCCTATAAATAAGGCTACGGCACGTCGATATTTATAACTAGTAGGCGCGTTAGTTAGTATAGTAGGGCCTTTTTAAGGTCACGTACGTTAATATAAAGGAGATAATCGCGGACGGTTTAACGAAGGCACTACTAGAGGCAGGAATTAAAAGACTATAGTAATAGCTTAATTTAACGGATTAAAAGGACCGTATCGAGTAGTCTAAACGACTATACGAAGAGATTAAACGCGCTAAAGCGGCCGTAATGAAGGCCCCTAAGGGCGTGGTAGATCCGATAGATATAGATCTAATTAATTAGATCCGGCTAATTAGGATCGAGGAACTAATTAACATAGAATTAAATTAAACGGTTAAATAGGGCGGATTTAGATCTTTTTTACGAGGGCGTTTTCCCTTAACTATTAATTTTATAGTAGAAAAGTTAAGAGCGTTTAGTTTAAACCGAAGCCTCTAATTAGTTAGTTAACCTAAGAAAACCTACCTTAACTAAAGGGGTGTATCGTATAGACAGGACCACGATATAGTCTATAGGGGATTTAGGGGGGATCTACTCTATAACTAAGGGCTCCAGATATCGGGGACTTCGGGTATTAGGATATAATAAGGGTAGATACCGGAAAAGACCGGATAGGATCTAAATAATATAGTACCCATAATAGAGTCTTCACCATCTAAATTAAGGGCATAAGAGACTCTCCCAGATATAACTGGATATAATACACACACACGAGATTTCTGCTCTACTAAGTTAATCATTTAAGTGCCTATTTGACGTGCGATAGTATCCGTCCTTATTATATCCTGATACCCGAGGTCCCCGAGATCCGAAGCCCTTAGTCAGGCATGGATCCCCTAGGGACCACGTCGTGGTCCGTGTGCCTATACGACATGACCCTGACAACACTCATCTTGTCGAGGTCGGCTGGACGCGGCTGAACTTGTTCCCCAAAGACAAACTGGGGTACGAATATATACGTGCATAACCACAAGCTGACTGATCTCCCTGCTCGTTTCTTTGTAAACCGTTGTTAGTGGAGACGTTTCCGTTTCCAATCCCAGAGCCACATTTATCGTTAATGGGACGTTGTGTAACGTGCTTGCAGGTGTACATTGACACCTATTTGGAAATCCGTGCAAGGGCATCCAACCGTCGGCCTGGAACTGGGTCAAGTATCTGAATTGTGACGATCCAGCCGTTCAGTCCTATCCGTAAGCCCTCTTATACCTGTTGATGGGCCGATAGAATATTCCATAAAAGCCGCCCTATCCGAACCACCTACCTTAGTCCCACATTGACATACGGCGGTTGACATAAACTTCAGCGGAGCCGAAAGCAGTTTGAGGTTGAGCCAGGAGAGCACCAAACCAGCCTGACTGTCATGCTACGTACCATCTCCATCACAGCTGCCCCATACATCAGTTCCAGGCATCTGTTTGCCCTATAGGCTGCCAGCAGATCAGCTGCGACTTCCTCCGGGCCGCCCAATGTGCATCCGATGCGCTTGTGCCGGCACCGTCATGTCAAGAATCCCGGTGGGAAGAGAGTCAAAAGACAAGGAGATACAGCGACACAGAGAGAAACTAGGTGTTGTCTCCCCCCTACCTACCTAAAAGTAGCCGCACTGGCGGCACGGCCCATCAGTCACTTAACTTATTAGGTGCTACATGGACTGACAAGATAGACACTAGCTACGCCGCCGCCGGCCTCGTGATCTGTCGGCTACAAGATATTGCATCTGGACGTGCCTCGAATCGCCAGTTACGAACCCCGCCCTAGTCCTAAATCGTGGACGATCAGCAAGTACTACTTCGTACACAACGACGCTGCATGCATGGGACTGACTGCCCAAAGAACTGGCTGCGTTTGTGCGAGTTTGACGGCCTGGGCAGCAGGCGTCAGTGCCCTAAACGCATCTGCCGACAGCCATTGACCAACCATGTCCGCCCGAAAGGCCCCGACAGCCCCGTTCCCGACAAGGTTATCAATCTACTTGCCCTTTTCATCACAGCCGGCAGGATAAAGTTGGGACGACAGGCGGTACGAAAAAAAAAAAAAGGAAAACCCCGTAGTGCGAAAGTAGTATCAAACATACGGCGAAAAGGTTGGGTGAGAGCCTAGAGGGGACGCGTTTCCCCCCACGAGTCCAAAGATATGCGTACCTAAACAGGACTGGTCTTCTCTGTTGTGTAATATGTTTTGGCAGCACTACGAGATTGTGATCGCCAACATGGCAACAAAACTTTTCCTGTGAGAGGCCATCGAACCCGCTGACGATTAGTATGCGGGACGAAAGAGTTTGGTTTGTGAGGCGTCTGGGCTGACTTCGGAAGCGGGGTTCCTCATAGGGGTCCTCACCGCTAAACCGCCCGGCGAAGCGCGCCCACATTTTAACCCCCATGATGCGCCTGTCCCCCGCTCGGCGTGGGGAAGCGCCGGCCTAAGAGGCTGACTGGGGCTCAATCGAGCCAGTCGATCCGACACACAGAGGCTTGTTTCAAGGAGGGGGTTTCACAATATGTATGTACGTTGTAGTCCGTACTTGTTACCGAACAAAGCAGCCGCCTGACTTCGTACTTCGATCTGCTCGGGATCACAAAGCAATTCCAGACGTTCGCTTGTACTCCGGAAGTCACGAGATACCTTACGGATACATATGGGTAGAGACACGATATGCTCCCCAGCCGTGCTCTACTTACGTTCTTCAGGTTGTCCACCTCTGCGCCTCTGCACGTCTGCACGTCTGCACGTCTGCACGTCTGTGGCATTCCTGAAGGCCTCAATCATGACTCTTTGCAGCACGGGAAGACGAAAACAAAACAGCTTGCAGATGGCTGGATCGTGGCCCATGCAAGCTGGAATTGCAAGCCTTTTTTTCTTTTTTTCTTCTTTTTTTTCGTGGCGTTTCTTGCTTCCTGAACCCTACACTAGAGATAGAAACAAAAGAAACACAATCTCAAAGCAACGGTTATAGGTAATGAAACAGCGCACAGCGGTATTTGTGTCCAGTGCGAGGCTGAGTGAGGCTCAGTCAGGTGACAGCTTGCCCGTCTACCTAGGAAAGCCAAAAGGCTGGCTCGGTGCACAACATCAATGCCACACTCATTCGCCATCGCCGGCGCCTCGGTCTTCGGCGGGATGGGTTAATTGCGAAGTAATTACTTCGTAGGTGATATTCGTATGTACGAATACATATGGCGTGTGAGGAGCAGCCGATCCCCCAACGTTGTCTTGCCGAAGTCCTCCGTGCGCTGAAGCCGCTGTTTCTCCCCGTTCGTCCCTTCGTGCGAGGAACAACACGCACGATTTCGGATTTTGAGCCCCCTAGACCCGGACTTTCCTTCGACGTGCATCTGCCAAGAAGTCAATAGCAACCTGAGCAGGATACCGTAAAAAAAAAACTCTCATATTCTGGCCAACCACGGTTCTTCAATCAGAAATCAAGCAACGGTATAGTGGAGGGACGAGCGTCGCCAAGGATGCCCATCGGGCTGGGCGTTTTTGGTTTTTGCACAAAGATGAGACTTGGCGAGCGTTTCTCGTTTTATTCTAATCCCCTTACCCCCGTCACGAGTGCTCCTGTGGCCATGAACCCCCTTTTGACCCCGTTAACAACAGAGTTTCAACCCCCATAGTTAGCCTTATTGGACCTCTGATTATCCCAGGTCCCACACCACTCACACACTACCTTAGACTGCACCCCCGGGCCTGGCCCTCACTCGCCCTCATCCCAAGCCTACCCCCCCTCTACGTCTGAGCAGCAACCTGCAGTTCCTCGAACGACGTCACAACACGGGGAGTAACCCTGCTCGCATGTGAGCTCGTGCTTGCTTGCCCCCATTTATTGGGCAGGTGGGTAATAATAATTCGTCGTTCGCTGTGCATTGTATTCGTGCTTCCTTCGAAGGGAATACAAAAGTATCTGAGTCGCCGAGCCGTAGAGGCAAGCGCCAAGACGGCCAAGACGTCTTGGCCGGAGAAGAGGAGGTGACAGTGCAGAGTAAAAACGGATAGAAGGAATTTGGGCGAGTGACCGAGAAATGCTTACAACGTACACACCACACCGTACATCGGACAACATCCTGAACACTGTTGGATCCTGTGATGGGGAGAGCGAAGAGTGTAGTTGTATCTAACGCGGGAACTCTGGACGACGGATTGATTGGCATTGGCTGGCAATTGGTTGGCAAGGTCTGCATATCGAAGAGATTTCCCAACATCATTCCACGTTTTAATGCACAGCAGCGCGACTCCCGTGCCTATCTGGGGATTCTTATCTTCATCTGCATCATATCAAGGCACCTTACTAATTAAGGTTGGTAAGGTACGGGGTTAATATCTTTCTGTTCCTAAATACTCCGTACCAACCCAAGTCGTACTCCATGCTTCGACGCACAACGGTACACGTTTGCACCATGGAACTTGCCTACTCGCCAATCTCGCCTATTCAAACTTGATCGTTCTACGAAGTATATACTTCGTAATCGTTCTAACCATGCCGACTGTAAGGTATTCGCGAATCCTGGCGACAGCAATGGAGGCAACGACGGTAAGGCAACTCTTTGCGGATAATTATCAGTTGGTCCCTCCCGCACCCGCGCCTGCGCCCGCCCTTGCTCGCGATCGGCTACTCTATACCCAGCAGTTGGAATGCAAGTAATACCGAGAGAAACGCCAATGACGATATATATATATATATACCCTTGGGCCAGGCACTCGGGTGTTTCGGCTCAGCTTCAAAAACACCACACGTATTCATTCGTACGTACGCACCATGATTTACATACTTATGAATAGGTACGTCCAGCTCGGGCAGCTTCAAATACTGCAGCTCGGTGCAGCTCCCTGAAGCCTTCTGACCTGGCTGAGTAAAGAAAGCGCTTGCCAATTCCTTCCTCGACCTCTCTTCTATTCACTAACCGATTCATACCTGTCCTCGATTTTCAACCCAATTTTTTGTCTGGCGTCGGGGACTATCCGGCGAAAGGATGCCTCCTATGTCAACAATTTCATAAGTTTGTGAATGTGTCATGGGTGGCGGCCAACCAGCGAATCCAAGACCAAAGGGACCCAGGTTCCGTGTTCCATGGCGTGGAAATGGCCAAGCGATCACTTCCTCGATTTCCCGGTTGGGGGAAGGGGGAGGGAGGTCAGCTGAATTGGAATGCACTTATTATTATTATCGGCTTTTGTTTCTCCGCAGTGTTCCCCGATCTGACACGAGTGTAACTTGGGCTGCCAGCCTCCAGGTACTTCGTACATATGTCAAGAATCGACTGGGGGAGACCAGCTTTATTTACGTTGCGCAACGGTGCGCAACGGGCGGTGACGCGCTGAAAGCTAAGATCTCATAGTTCTGAGCAGTGAACACTCCGTACCAGTGTTCCTCCAGTATCGCCTTCGCACTTCCGAAGTACTTCCCATCAACAAGACTGTTCGTACTTTGTACAAATATGGCCATAGTTGAACGGTTATGACCAACTTGCCGCAGCAAGATACAACAACGTGGTAACTAAGTATTGGCGTGTTACTTTGCAAAGTACGGAGTACGTACTAAAGGCGGGAGTACCTCTCCAAGCTAAAGTCGTTTATTGTGGGTGTGGCATCGTTTGTGGTGTTCTTGTCTTCTTCGGGTCTTCCTTCCTCTCAACCTCAACATCCCCTCTCTCTCTCTCTCTCTCTCTCTCTCTCTCTCTCTCTCTCTCTCTCTCTCTCTCTCTCTCGCTCTCTTTCTCGCCCCCTTTAACCACGGCTTCCCACGATCCGAGCCTGTCCGCGACGCTCGCTCGTTCCCTCTTCGGCCATCGCATCCCGCCCGACTACGATTTACGGTCGTGAGAGGACACGGAGCAATTCACGACAGCGGCCGTGCGCCTTTGAGCGCTCGCCATTGCATTGCGCTACGGAGCACGGATTACACGGATTACGGTGTACCGATCGCATCATAAACTTCTCCACGAGATTTCTCCACGAAACGCGCGCGGTTGATTGGGCACGGGCTACTTCGTGGACACAGACACGGGATAAGATCACGAAAATCGGTCCCTTCCCGTCTGATCTCGGTTCGCAATGCCAGAGATCATCGTGTTGGAACGGCCTGAAAACAAATGAGCCGGGAGACGAAGAAGATAAAGAGAGAAAAACGAAAAATAGAAAGGGCGACAAGACATGAACTACATCACTGCCATCATAATCGTCTGCGCCATAAGCGGGACTGTCTTCAGTCTGGCCTTGTACGTTCGGATTGCTCCCTTTTCCTCATTCTACTCCATGAAGTCCGACACGGGTGTCTTCCCTCTTGACGACTATCCGCTTGGCCTGGATGGCTGAGCGAAGTTCTGGATTGTCGCCGCATCATCCCCCCTCCGGTTTTCCAGTTCCGTCTCTCCCTTGCTCCCTTACTCCCTCACGATGTAGACATTTTTCCAGCAATGTTTTCTTTCCCCTTGGGAGACTTCTAGAAGAGGATTCAAAGCCTTCGACGTACTTCTATATTTGATTTTTGAGGCTGACTCTCCTCGCTGCTGCGGCTAGGGGCACCAAGCTCTACTTCAAACATCGCCAAAATCGCAAGACTCGCCCTGAGGTGCAGCAACTAAAGAATGCGCGCCACCTGCTACTATGCGCGGCTCGACGTAGTCGCTTGGGCGCCGAGAAGCTGAGTCACTACGACGTCGAGCTGAGGTTAGGCCCACAACAACACGGAGAAATGCATGAATGGTGAGTGAGTGTGAGTCAGCCATCGCAGGCACGGCGTCTTCTTTCTCGTCGCCCCCGCCCCCCCCC